TTTTGTGTATGTGTATGTATGTGTGTACATTGGTGTGTGTGTTGTGTGTGTGTGTGTGTGTGTGTGTGTGTGTGTGTTTGTGTGTGTGGTGTGTGTGTGTGTGTGTGTGTGTGTGTGGTGTGTGCGTATATATATATATATATATATATATATATATATATATATATATATATATATATATATATATATATGCACACATATATATGTGTGTGTGTGGGTGTATATGTGTGCATTTATATAATATGTATATGTATATGTGTATGTATTATATATATAATATATATATTATATATATATATTATATATATATGTGTGTGTGTGTGTGTGTGTGTGTGTGTGTGTGTGTGTGTGTGTGTGTGTGTGTGTGTGTGTGTGTGTGTGTGTGTAACTGATCAAATTCACATATATATCCACATACAGAAATACTTAAAAATCAACAGGTTTCTTTTAGTTTATTTCATATTACAGGACAATGAAAAAATATAGGTGTTAAGTATAAAGTTTATTCACAAGACAGCACTATTTAATTTAAAAAATCTTATAGTTATGGGGTAAGTTTTTGGCACAGCTGTTGTCTTTTGTGGATGACACCTCGGCAGATGCTTTGTACAACTCTATGATCCAATTTTAACCCTTTTTTAAAGAAATGCCTATTTTTATTTTTTGTTTTGATTTACGTTGTCATTATGTCAAAGATCGATCTGTTCTGTTTCATATCAATGAAAATACATAGTTAGTTGCTATATATTTTCTGAGTGGAATATCATTCTATTTCTATGAATGTAATTTGAGGAAAGATTTTTTTTAATTTTTTTTACTTGTTTTTATTTATTTTTTTTTTGTTTTTGTTTTGTTTTTTAGAATTTAGTAGCTAAAGTAATTTTCTTAATACACTTGTTAATGATAGGTGGACACCAAACACTCCAATTCGGCTGTACTTTCCCTTTTTATTTTTTGGCACATTAGCATTTTTTCATGCTCTCTTTTATTTTATATTGAAAATATATGATTGATAAAATATTCGGGAGAAGCAAAACCTACTTTCATTTTTCATGTGTGTGGCACGACCTATCATTGACTGAGGGTAGGTAGTTTGGCATGGGCAAGGAGCGGACTGGCCTGTTCTTTTATTTCGCGTTTATTTATTTTTTGAACATCTTGTGTTATACTTGGATTTATTTTGCATATTTCCAATTAGTGTTTTTTGTTTTTTTTATGCAGAGTTTACTTCTTTCTTTGTCTTTATTTGTATCTCCCTTGGTGAGGTGTGTTGGAAATGATATAAGTATATACACCTTGTGTGAGAATGAGCTCATAACGATTTGAAATACCGGCAAATGATAAAGATAAAAGTCCCACTTGACCACAGACAAAATATCCACATGAAGTCTCTGGAAAAACTGAGCTACATAAATTGAACTGCTCTCATGGCAGTGCTATAATATGTAGAAGGTAGACAGAAGATGAATTACTAAGAATATTTTCCACAAAAAGAATTCTAGATCATGTGATAGGGTTATACACAAGGGAACAAAATGTGTGGGATCATTTGTGTGTTCAGATTGTCATCATAAACAAAGAGGACACACTTACTTATATATTTTTGGTGAAAACTGAAACAGTATTGCCTTTACATATTCTTTTGAGGATTGAGTAAACATTTTTTGATTGAGAAAAAGGAAAATTCAGTGAAGAAATCTTCCACTAAAATTAATAATTAAACAATATCTTACTTAAATTCATACTCAGTTTTGTTCAGTATAGAAAACACTGCATTTGTTCACTTGTGTAGATCATTAAGCTGTATCTTTTCGCTGTCAGTCGGCAAAGTCCATCAACTCTACACACGTTCAAGAATTCTTTCTTCTAAACATATCTCAAATAAACTACCTGTAGGGTTATTATGTATCTTCTAATATGTTATGCATGCACTAACTGAATGATTCAAGTTCAAAAAGTTTCAAGAACAAGAAATTAATATGCATTGAATATTTTGCTACTTATTTCTCAACCTCCCTAATGTCTCAGTTTTAGTGCCATGAATGATAGTACTTGTGTCATACTGCGTTGTACTGAAGGAAAGAGTCAGGTGGGGTGTGGGTCTGTGTGTCCATCTGATAAATCTGGTATATGGTTTGAAATTTCGTATCCTGCAGTATTTTTTCTTTTTGGTTTAATGTCCTTTTTTTTTAGGTGGATTTTTTTCTTTTTCTTTCTTCTGATTCAGTAGAATAGTTTGAATATACTGTATAGCCTGTTTTTCCAACATTAAGATTTCTTTATAATGCAATAAAATAGCACAATTCAGATCTGCAATATTTAGAGACAGGGGACTCTGTAAAACTTTTTACTTCAGAACTCAGTGAATGGACACCCAAACCCATCCACAGCCCCTAGAGAAGTCAGTATGTTAATGACAGAACATCAATTATATGGGTTTTCCCTTAAAGACCAAAATTTTGACCAAAATCACACTGAAACAAGAACTCATACCATTGCACAAAGAAGCAGCTAGGCCAGCACACTGAAGGTCAAACAGGGTTCCATTACATTACAATTCTAGATTACTGTTTTTATAAACCCTGTCCTTGTTTACTGTAATCCTAAAGTGTTTCAGAA